CCCCCCGGTTGGCCCACCCCTCGCCTGGGACTTCCAGAACAAATGTACGTACGTGCATATCGGCCCAATTCTACATTCCGTTCGTGCTCTGATATTCCGTGCTCGCCGTACGTCATACGTTTCGAAGGGGGGAGGAGGGGGGGCGGGGAGAGAGAGAATTGGAAAAGGGATCGCGAAAAGAGGATGAATAGTTTTGCAAGACTTTATTTATTTCGCCGAATAAAATAATTGCTTCTGTTATTCCCTGGGTAGTCGATTGCTTTCTATGTAAATTACCCCCTGTGGTCGGTTGCCAGAACCGATGTTGTTTCTTACGTTAGACACCAGAGGGCTAAGGACTTGTACAATGTGAAAAAAAAGTTCTCCAGGCGTTCGTTCTGTTGTATAAGAAGGAATGAATTGCAATCATTGTAATCGGATTGTAGCACCCTTGAAACATTTTTCAATAACCACCCCAACCGATACTACACTCTCCTACGATCCGTAATTTTTAGTCTTTCCAGTCTGTATATACAATTATTTCCAATTCGATGTATTCTTGCGAATCTTATTTCGCGCTTGTGATCTTGCCGTCACGTATCGACCCCCTCCGTTAGGATTGATAGATAAAAATATATTTATTTTCGTTAAACGCAACCCAATACTATTGGCTGTTTCAGAATTGACAGCCGCGGAAAACCTTTGACGAAAGCAGCTCACGTGCCAATCGCAGGTGGTTTCGGAACTAGAGCCTATTTCCGAACGACCATTCAGCATCCAGCTGTTTTGGTCCTCGAAGATATTCGTCGACACGACGCAGCGTCGTATCGATGCCGGGTCGACTTCAAGCTTGCGCAGAGTCGCAGTTACCGCTACAATTTGGCAGTGATCGGTGAGTACACGTGTATACAGAAGCTGAAACAAAAATTAGTTCATTTTTAACTGTAACGGGGGAAAAAGAAAATCAAGGACACAGGAGAAAATCTAGTTCACCTAGGTCGACTCGATGTCGGCCAGTGAAAAAGCGAGCGCAGGGTAAGTCCTACTGCCTAGGTGCAAGGACGACAGAGAAGTAAAGAATTTCGAGGTGGTGGTTGAGCTGCCATGGGAAGGGAAGTCTGATCAAACAAATGGCGACTACTGAAAAATGCATGAGCCAATCGGAGACGTGCTGCCCTGTCTGCATACTCGCCCGCCAGCCAGCCAGCCAGCCAGCCAGCCTGCCAGCCAGCCTGCCAGGTTGACTGCAGTACGGTTACCCGTAAGACCTTTTACTACGTAGAAACATGCACGTTACCTCCTTCTGCATTGCCATGCATATGCATAAAGAATATCTATACAGAGTCTCTGCACATCATCCATATACAAGATAGACGCAAACCGCCATTCGTTACATTAACAGAGGTCGTCCTCGAGTCTCTCCCTCCTAGTCCACGTGGTCCATCAAAATCAGAGTATAAAAACAGAATCGATTTTTTTTAAAATTATTTTTCAACATTTTCCACTCACTTTCTTATCCCTCATAGCCGAAGACTAAACCACCAGATTAGGTAATACAAATTCGAAAGCAGCCGACTTATGCACGGGCTGGTTACTTCCGATATGATGAGACCAGTAGAGACCACGTGTATGCTCGAATCGCATACTGGATTTGGTCATATCCCCCCCCCCCCCCCC